CTACAGTATTAATAGAAACAAGAAGACATTTTGAAGCCAGAAAAGAGAAATCTGCAACTTCAGACCAATGAAAAATGGCAGCAAAATCTTTCAGAAGAATATATAAGAGTTTGGGTAATTATTTGAGATGTAAAATCTATTCCCAGGCAAGTGTATACCTCTGTTACAGGAACAGGCAGGGACAGCTTTAAGAGGCAAGAATCAGAAAGAGGCAAGGCAAGAATCGAATGAGATTATAATGTAAAGTTTGAAAGAAGAAACAGATTTGGTGTACCCCTAGGTTAATTTGTACATTAGATAAAATCAAAAAGAAACTGTCTATCAAGATGAACAAAAATTAAAAATAAAGAGGTCAACAATTGGAAAAATGAGAAGCATGTGTGGAGGGATGCTAGCCAGAAAGATGAACAAAAATTAAAAATAAAGAGGTCAAAATGAAAAAGAGGGAAGCAGGTGTGGAGGGATGCTGGTTAGAATTTGGAAGCACTAGAAAGGAAGGAATCACAACTTTATCATTCTATCTCTTACAAAAAGTGCTACTACATAATACTCCCCCCACATACTTTTTAAAAATTATAATATGGAATATTAGTGTTCTAAGAGTTTCTAGTAAATATTATGTCCTGCTCCAAGAGTGCTTCAATTACTAGTTTGATTCCTTTTTAAGCTTTTGGGAGAAGGGATATTGCATTTTCCTAAGCAATTGTTTTGTTGAGTCAGTTTGAATTTCATAGGAAGGGCTAAAGCTGCATGTCCCCCCTCGTTAGAATACTTTGTGCACAAATTCTTTGAAAATTCCTTTAAAATGGAATTATCATAGCAGATTGGATTTCCTCCCAAGAGGCATTGCCAGTAAAACAATTACTTTTTTATCATGCTGAAAAGCATGTGATGTGTAAATACCTTCCATCTAGTGTGCAATATATAGTGGCCCCTAATTTGCATAACATATCTGTTCCAAGGAAATCTACAGAAGAGACACTTGGGAGAATAGAAATAAATTCTATAATGACAGTGAATGGCTCAGACTGACTGATTGGAAATTTCAGCAGGGAAAGACAAAAGATTTTTGAAAATGTTGAAGTTGTGACAGTTGAATAAGAAGCAACAGTATCTAAGAGACAAAAGATAGTTTCTCCTCCTGCTGTGCAGTCAACAATGGATTCAGATCCAGAAAGAGAGATAAAAGAGTAGCTGAGATGTTACATCTGTGTTGTCCTGTTGAAACACATCCATACTATTTCTACCAGTACCCAGTATTTCCACAGAAATAACAAGTTCTGGTGCTAGAGCAGGGGTCCCAAAATCCCGGTAAGCTAGAGTAGGGGTCGCCAAACCCCGGTCTGTAGACCAGTACCAGGCCGTGGCATGCAAGCAACCGGTCCGCACAAACAAGCAAAGCCCCATCCGGGGGATGCAGGTAGCACACAAAACCATGCACCCTCCGGTCCGCGGAAAAACCTCTCCACAGAACCGGTCCTTGGTGCCCAAAAGGTTGGGACCTCTGAGCTAGAGGGCATTTCGCAGAAAAGATGAGTTAAAGGTTTGTTTCATATTTTGCTGCCTGTTGCTATATCTAGCTGCAATATTTATTAGGGGCAGCAATATACTGCATATCAGATAAAATTTATTTTATTTTCCTTGCCAGTGCTAGTGGGAACTTTGCAGTCAACTCATTTGAAGAGTCATATGCTTTAGTTCAGGCTTTTTCTTATTTAAAAATTTTAGTTGAGTAGCCATTGCAAAATCTAATTAAAGGGTTTGTTAGATAGACATGATAGATTTTAAATGCTGCTGCATCTTTGTCTGTAGACCCTGTACAAAAAGTGTTAGGAATCTAGAATGCTGTTAATTGTGGTTCTTAAACTTTCCAGGAAATCAGCTGAGGGTTGTACTTTTTGTAGAATAGCATCAGCTACTATAACATGAAATTCATAAAATATAACAAAAAGTTACAGAGAACAGATATATAAAAGTTCCAACATACTAGCAAAAGTGATTCTGCAAAGATCTTATATTCATTCTAGGCTCATTCTCAAGGTCATTGAAATTATTCATCTTTCCATCATGTTGCATCCCACCATATTGTGCTAGTAATCTACTCTAAACAGGCTTAAGATACAGAAGGATCTTGACAGATTTGAACATTGGGTGCTATCTAACAAAATGAAATTCAGTGGTGAAAAAAGTAAGGTTCTACATTTAGGCAAGAAAAACCAAATGCACACGTACAGTGTACTTCTCTCAATAATAGTAACTGTGAGAGGGATCTCGGAGTCCTAGTGGACAATCACTTAAATATGAGCCAGCAATGTGCTGCAGCTGCCAAAAAAGCCAACACAGTGCTAGGCTGCATTAACAGGGAGATAGAATCAAGATCACGTGAAGTGTTAATACTACTTTATAATGCCTTGGTAAGGCCACACTTGGAATACTACATCCAGTTTTGGTCAGCATGATGTAAAAAAGATGTTGAGACTCTGGAAAGAGTGCAGAGAAGAGCAACAAAGATGATCAGGGGACTGAAGGCTTAGACATATAAGGAACTATTGCTGGAAATGGATATGTCTAGTCTAATGAAGAGAAGAACTAGAGATGACATGATAGCAGTGTTCCAACGTCTCAGGGGCTGCCACAAAGAAGAGGGAATCAAGCTATTCTTCAAAGCACCTGAAGGCAAGATAAGAAGAGATGGATGGAAACTAATCAAGGAGAGAAGCAACTTAGAACTAAGGAGAAATTTCCTGACAGAGAGAACAATTAATCAGTGGAACAACCTGCCTCCAGAAGCTGTGAATGCTCCAATACGACGTTTTTAAGAAGGGACTGGACCACCATTTGTCTGAAATGGTATAGGGTTTCCTGCCTAAGCAGGAGGTTGGACTAGAAGATCTCCAAGGTTCCTTCCAACTCTGCTATTCTATGATTCTATCATCTTTAAGACACTGGTGCCTTGTGGCTGTTCTTATTAATTCCCAGAACAGTACTTAGTCCTCAGTGGGGCTCGTGCTGATGCTGACGTCCTGATTTGATTAGGTTAAATAAGTCTATGTACAAACATTAAATACATAGGCATTTCCTTAAAATCATACAACTCTATATGCCAGGGATGGGCAATCCACAGGCCCCAAGTTCCAGGCCCACTTTTTTCAATTGTCAGAACAGCCACTGAAATTCGGGGGCAAGCTTATCTATTGTCATTGAAATGAGTGGCTTTTTAATGGGCTTGTTGTGCACTTTAATTACCCAAAAGTGTCTGGCCTTATCTGGATACATCACCAGCTTTAACTTGTGCCTCCTTTTGATGCAATATAATAGTAAATATTTAAATAAAAAGTGTGATCCAGGCCCCAAGAAGAGGTCATATAAAAATACACACACTATATGCCGTGTTTTCAGATACTAATGCTGCCTTAGAAATGATTGTGAACAAAAAACTTATTTATTGATATATTATTAGGGCAACATTTAATCAGATGTCAAACCAGTTATGTCATTTTATAAAATTCACAGTAACCTTGCAAGAACATTTCTATTTTTCTTCACAGGTGGTTTGTTTTGGATGCTGAAACAAGAGATTTGGTTTCAATCCATACAGATGGCAACGAACAGCTCTCTGTGATGCGCTACACAGTAGGTATGCAGAACTGTAATTCACTTGAACTATTTTTTTATTTTTAAATACATGTCAACTATTCTAAAAAGAGTGTTTTAAGTAAGAACAATATTGTATCTGCATATAAATCTTTTTAACATACATATTTTATTGTGTTTTTTTAACGTTGGGGAAATGTTGCTGTCTATTACAAATCCATGCATGATATGTTATATGCTAAATAAATAAAATATAAGTGTAAGAACAAAATAACGTTAACCTCTTCGTGAAGTTATTTTTCCCACATTGAAAAAATATTACTTAGTAAAGTAAGTAAAGCAATATGGAACATTAATTTTTTTGTTTGATTTTAGTTTTACTGCACCTGAATCAACAGTATTGTTTGCCAGCTTCTCTTTCTAAATACTGGTAGTAGCTAAATAAAGGAAGTAGTCATGCAAATTCACATAGAAAATAGTATCCCGGCAGATATAGGCCCTGGCAGCAGCTCAAAAACTAGACTTTTTTTCTGACTGAATTTGACATTTAAATTCTGGGACTCAGAACACAAATGCTGCAGGGTGGAAGAAAATGGGAAAAAATGATAATAGCTGATGTCAACAAGGAAGAAGAAGGCAAGTAGGGAAGGGCTGACTGTTATGCCATGTTTGAATTCAAGCACATTGAAGAAGAAAGAGAGAAGAGCATTGACACAATTGATAGGTAGACTAGTGCACTGCAAGGCTGAGGACAAAAAGTTCCGGGCCTTTGTTGCAAGATCATCCAGAACCTGGAACAACCAAAATATTCTCAATTTTATTTTGCCAGAATTGTCCAGAATCAATCCAGCCATGTACAAAACAGTCATGAACATATCCATGTACAAAATAGCCATGTACAAATCCAGCCATTTACAGAACAAAATACATTTAAGTTTGCTTTCTTGATTTCAGCAAGTCTGCTTCTAAACATAACTATTTTCTGTTAAACAAATTGTCTTATGTAGGCAGCATTGTTAGGGCAGTTACATTAAAGTTTTTTAAGATGTTCTGCCTATGCAGGGGGAAACAAAGTCTTTTTGTCTGAATAGGATACTCTCAAAAAGCCACTGTGAGTTATTTTAATTAAGCTATGTATCATCATATTTGTTTTTGAACTAATTATCATTTGCACACACTTCAGAAGACTCTGGTCAAGCTTATGGCTAAGTGTGTCAAATGTGAACATAGTGAAATGTGAACAGAAACATAGTTTAGTTGCAGAAATGTCCCAGTCTCTATTTTCTGTCTTCCCTGTTTTAGAGGAAATCAAAATAGATTTTGCTAGATGATCTTAATGGAGAAGCAGATTTATGTAGGAAAATATGTTACTTGAAATATTCCAATCCTATATAATGTATGACTGAGTTGAAGTTTCCATTGAATGAACAGTTTTATACCATCATTTAAATATATGATTGAGGGAACGGAAATTTTATTTTTACCATTAAAAGCCTTTCAGTAGCTCTGTAAATTATTCTTGTTCATTGTAAATTTAATTTTGGGATAACTTTTATTTTATTTTTAAATCATGAAGGTATTTGTGGCTAGATTTGCAAATTGCATCTTGAGAGTCTCTACCAGAAGAAAACCATTGATTTCCTATTTGGGCCCCCATTGCTTCCTGCCCATTGCTCCTTTTGTCAATTTGATATGGAATTGAATGACACAACACAAGAAGAATTTGGCCAGAGACTAGAGATACTGAAAAATTAGGCTGAAACAATTCTATAAGTGGAACTTAATTTATATAATGCTTAGCAATTCTCTCTGACCCTGAGTAGCAGGTCTTTGGAAAACAGAAAACTGTCAGTGGAAAAGAGATAATGGGCTAGTGTTTCTTTATGACCTTCCTTTGACAGGGCATTCTTTAGAGCCAATTCTGGACTTTGAAGAAGCAGGATAGAATGAGTATTGACACTTTTGAATTTAGGTATTGTAGAAGACTATTGAGAATGCAATTAGAAAATTATACTCAATACACAAATGGCCAGTATAATCATTATACTTTGGACATATCATGCAAAAATCTAGCTCTCTGAAGAACTCTATAATTCTGGGGAAAGTAGAAACAGGACAATAAGCAGTACAGTGGATGAACTCAGTTACAATGTTGATGGGACCAGGTTTTGGACAAATTGTCATGGAGGAAACCTATGTGGTTGCTAAAAATAACACTAGTTGATGGTACATAGTTATCAAGAGCCATACTAATTGACAGTCTTATATATGAACTTTAAAACATTCTGAATGTTGATCATTTTCCTTCAATAGGTAAAATAAAAGTAGTACATGCTTTGAAATTACAACTTGTATTTATATTATTATCTACAACTGTTTCATACATGATATGCTAGTGAGTTTTGCACTGTCCAATTACAGTTTGTTTTTACTTTGCATTACAGATGGCACCTTTCTTGCAGTGGGTTCCCATGACAACTTCATTTACCTCTATATAGTAACAGAAAATGGAAGAAAGTACAGCAGATATGGAAAATGCACTGTAAGAACTGTAAAATGATACTCTTTTTCATTTTATAAATAAAGGGGGAATACATACAGATCTAACTGTTTTCTCATCCAGATCCCAAACTGTTTAATTTCAGTAAGTAACAAACATCATGCTGGACCTTACTTTCTGATGATTGATAGTGCAGGAAATGAATAGCACATTTCTATTTAAAATATTCCCAACTAATATTGTGTTCTTATCACTTGACCACAGTGTTATCCTTAAATGCCACTTCTTAAGGCTGTCTTAAGAATGTCTTTTACTTTTAGGGCATGAAGGTATATATACAAAACATTCTTTCCAGTTTAAACGTAGGCAAAAATTGCTTTTAACTGTGGTAAAATATGATAAGAGTTCCATGATCTCCATGCTCATTATTTCGTTCTGGAATTATTTTTTTTACCCAAAAACTTGTTTCCAGGATCCACAGAGCTTCATACAGTATACCATTATTCAAATCCTGGTATATTATTCTGGACATGTGGAAGTTAAAAAGCAATTTTGTGTGTCAATTGAATTCACATGTACCTTTCAGTTTTGAATGCTAATCTGACATTTCAAGTTCTCTATCAGAATATATTAGAGTGACACATCTCACTTGAAATGCAAATATTGAGAGGTTTAAAACTTTTATATTTTAAACAATTGCCCTACAGGAAAAAAACACAGTGACTATATTAGTTTGGAAAATCAGAGCAAAAAGAGATGTGCTTATTCTGCCTTTTATTTTTAAACCCAATTTTAACCAAAATAATACCTTTTCCAAAAAGTTTCAGGGATCGAGAAATCTGGAATATTTTTCACTCTTTGTATTAGTATGTAAAATTGTTTCTAGACAAATACACAGAGTTGGGTATTAATGTTAGAGCATAGGTCTGGATTAATCGAAGAATAGCATCTTCTGTATGATCTTCCACCACTTAGCAGGTCACTTGAGAACTCTTCCAGCAGTAACAGAGTTAAGCTTTTCCACATCTTTGAAGTTATTTTGCCTTTTTAAACTCTAATTTTATATTTTAGCGTAAACTGTTATGACTGATAATTGGCAGAACAAAAATAAAACATTATAATTTATCTGATAATAAAAGATGTGATTGGTAAACATTTAATTGGCTCATATTAGTATTTCACTGTTTGATAGCTCTGTATGCCATTCATTCTCTTCATAAATTTGACATTCTCCTATCTTTCATAGTTCAGCATTTTTATGTAGTATGTGCAGTTTTTATTAGAGTGACATGCCAATACTTGTCACATATGGATATGGTATGTCAGAAATGAAATACAGTGAGGGAAAAAATAATTTGATTACCTGCTGATTTTGTACGTTTGCCCACTGACAAAGAAATGATCAGTCTATAATTGTAATGGTTTATTTTAACAGTGAGAGATAGAATAACAGCAAAAAAATCCAAAAAAACACATTTCAAGAAAGTTGTAAATTGATTTGCATTTTAAGGAGTGAAACGTTCCTCCAACGTTAGTGCTAGCTTCTCAATTTTTAAAGATTCAGGATAACAGATGGAGGGCAGGGGGAGAGAGACAAACAGATGGAGCTTTCTTCTTTTTTTCTGAGCCCACTGCATGTTTTCCTGAGCAACTGGGAACATTGTAAAAGCAAATTCATTCATGTAAAACAGTTGAATTTGGCATTCTATTATCCTTGGCATGAAACAAGCTCTATACATAACTGCTCACAAAAAACATTTCTGTTATTGTATATCCACCCTTTCAGTTGAAGGATAAATTGTAGCCTTCCACTCCATCTTCATACAAATCTTGTTTGCCCAGGTTCAGATGTGTTTGACAGGTCAATTTGCTTTTGCTATTAAAGCAGTTATGTATAGGGAAATCATTGCAATTGAGAAGGAGGAAGCGCACACAATGAAATGATTAAAGCAGGGATCTGCATCTGTCTGCCATATGCTTACATTTCAACATGGCTAACTGGGATTTTAGGTAATTGTAATCCATTCATGGGCTCTAGTTCAGCCTCATCAAAATATAGAACTTGGTGGATTGGTTTTATAAACTACTATGTTGATTTGTTTATATGAACATTTTAAAGGGGGGGAGATAAAAGATGAAAGAGGGAGAAATCACTGTTTTAACTAGAATTTTAATAGCCTCTTTATCTCTTTTTTGTTTATATATGTTTTAGGGACATTCCAGCTATATTACACACCTTGATTGGTCCCCAGAAAACAAATACATAATGTCCAACTCAGGAGATTATGAAATATTATACTGTGAGTACAAAATTGCAATTACTTCCATACTGGAAAAATGCTAATAATCTTAAGGGGAAAACATGCTTTATTAGAATGTTCCTTGACAGGATAATAATTTGACCTTCTATAACCTGATCTTCAGTATTATTCAAAGTTATTTTGTTCTTAACGTTATTTCCAAATATAGCTTCTTTCTCTGCAAAGGCATCAGTTAATTTAACATTTTACGAAAGAGGTGCTGGGATATGATATGTCAAGAGTATAAGTTTTAGCTTGAAAGTATTATATATGCTTGCTTGATTAAATCCCTTCTTTATTGATGTACTAGTTCAAATAATTATTTTAGCACTATTAATATTCTTTTATTTTAGTAAACTTTATTTTAAGAGCTCAAAATGTCCCATGTGCATTTGACCTACAAAACAAATTATTTTCCTTGGCCCAAAGGTGATGTAGTAGAATCTTTTTGGTTTGTTGTTTGTTTGGGATTCCTAACCTAGGAAAAACCATGACTGGCAGGCTATATTCAGCTTAATTGTCACAACTTTGCAGGATTTTCTTTTATATTACCAAAATTATTGCTTATTATAGACCTAAAAGACAAAATTTAAGTTATAATATCTTAAACAATTATGGTATACTTGAAATGAGCTTGGAGATATCCAGGATATGAACATTATAAATCAGAATAAGATGAATAATAATGAAGTAACAATAAACTCTTATGAAGAGCCCCATGGTTCTACAGATATGTCTGCTGTCTTTTGTAAATTGTTACTGTGTAATAGTGAAGAACAATGGCTTATGAAAACTAGGCAGGATGAGAATTAGAATAATTCTGGCCCAATTTCACATACAAATTATAAAACACAATGACTATTTCATTGAAGTGTTCCTGCTTTTGACTGTCAATTGAAGGAGATTAAGATTGCAAGATGCAATTCCAAAAGAAGGCAATGGCTATTTGTATCATGCTAAGAAATCATGCATGCATCTACGTAAATAGCAGGAATCAAGTTCAATTTGAACATGACTTGTTTTACTATTAGCAGTAATTTTCATTATTTTCATATGTTTATTTATTAAATAAAGCTTCATATAGCTGCCCATCTTATATCAAAGTCTGGGCGGCTGCTGATACATAATTAAAACAATATCTGTACATAAAACAACAAATACACATATCTATTAAACCATAAATATTAAAAACCTGGCACTATGAAGTCCCTCATTTAATCCTCTTACTACCTCTTTCTATGTCAAGGCTTGGGGAGAAAACCAAATATTAAGAGGGTAGAGGCCGGGTGAACTTCAAAGCAAAGGGTATTCGATAGGAAGTAGCTGCCCCAGGAATGCACGTTTCCTAGATCCATAAAATGACATTTTGTAAAGGGAATGTACAAACTGGACATTAAAGGAATGATTTTATCTGATTTGGTAGAAGAGGTAGATGTCCTTAGGGAGAAGCAGTCCCATAGATAACCTGGCCCTATGGCGTATAGCAATAGCAATAAATTTATATACCACCCCATAGTGCTTTACAGCACTCTCTAGACAGTTTACAATGTCAGTATATTGCCCCCAACAATCTGGATCCTCATTTTATTAACCTCTGAAGGATGGAAGGCTGAGTCAATCTTCAACCTTCCAGGATCAAACTCCAGACTGTGGGCAGAGTTAGACTGCAACACTACATTCTGTCCACTGCACCACCAGGGCTCCTTTATATAGAGAAGTTTAAAGTAATAACACATATTGATCCTAATCCATTTAAGAATAAATATAGCTTCAAGTATAAATTCCACTTAAAAGTGTCTTTGGATGCTTTTCTTTATTTACAGTAATAAATAAGTTCACATGTATAGAAATAAAATTATATCAATTTAAGTCTAAAGCTATTGAAGGAATCAGTGAATGAAAATTGAAAGAGAAGGAATGTTTAAGATTTTATTCCCCCGTCTATCACTTTAAGTTAAAATTCTATTAGCATTTATTGTTGGCAAACAGTTGTATAGTCTAAAATGTAAGTTAAAGTAGTTATGACCCAAATTTTCAAGATTTGTGAAGCTTTTTCATGAGAAGCTTTTTCAAGAAATTTGAGATGTTTCAGCTTAGAAAACAATTACAATAGGATTTGCACTGGAATGTAGCATATGCAGACAGTTATATGTGCTAATCTGCTGAAATCATGTATTTTATATTAACGTGATTGTGTCATCTCTAATTCTTGGACTTGCAAGCATTTGATAAATAATTTAAACTACAGGTAAGTCCTCAACTTACAACCCCAATTGACCAAGATTTCTGTTGTTAACTGAGACATTTGTTAAGTTAGTTTGCCCCATTTTACAACCTTTTTGCCACAGTTGTTAAGTAAATCACTGCAGTTGTTAAACTAGTAACACAGTTGACTTCCCTTGTCACCTTGGTACACTGCAACCATCATAAATACAAGTCAGTTGCCAAGCATCTGACTTTTGATCATGTGACTATGAAAAATGGTCATAAGTGCTGTTGTAACTTCGAACAGTCCCTAAATGAACTGTATAAGCCTTATTTATTATAACAAAATGTTCTCTTTTTTTATAAAAAGTAATACTGCTATTTAGCCTTTTATTTTTCTTATGGCTAAAAGATAGTTCAGTGTTTAGATTTTATTTCCATTATATCTTTGAATCCTTTAATAATACACGCAATGTAGAATAATTTGCTTGGCCACCATTGCTTTGGAGCATGAATGCTTGCAACACCCAATAACAAGGGATAGTAAAGTGAAAAAAATTCTATTAGCAATATACCCTGCTAGTAAGCACTTTTAAACAGTTATTCAAACTCAAAATATTTCACAGTTGTTTTTATTCTGCTTTTTAAAAAAAACAATAATAATATAGATAACTTTTAAAAAATCTCACTCTAATATTGTTTTACTTTATGATTAGTTTGATCCTGTCCAGACACAGGATCAAAGAGCCTCTCTTAAAAAATGCAACCAATTTCAGAGGCCCATTTTTAGGGATAGAGGAGAGGACCTTTTCCTACCATGTTTCCAAAATGTGGAACACATCCCTTCCAGAGACTGCTGTTTCTCTCTTTTTAGGAACATGGTGTTTCATTTCAACAAGCTCTTTTGAATTGGAATGATAATGACTAGTTGTTGCTTCTAACAGGATTTTAATTGAGTTATGTTTCTGAATGTTTTTCTTCTGAGAGTTACTTTGAGAACCCTAGGGATAGAAAGATAGGATACAAATGGAAATTATAACTAGCTATTCCAATACCAGTTATATATTTTTATAAAGGGGACATTCCAAATGGCTGTAAACTGATAAGGAACCGCTCTGATTGTAAGGACATAGATTGGACAACATACACTTGTGTGCTGGGATTTCAAGTATTTGGTGAGTAATATATTCCTATTTAATTATTATTCTTAAGTTTAAAATCAGTCTGCTCTGAAAAATACAAAGATTATACCATTCATAGAGTGTTTTAAATATTCTGCTGTTGTTTCTTTAAACTGACTTCATAAATGGAATTGTAATATCAATCATTCCAGTATTTTCTTTTTCATTAAATATAATTGTTTTTGGTGGAAAATTGTTACAAATGCATAGGCATCTATTACAAATCAGAATTATTAGCAAATAATTATGTAACTTGTATCACAATGCCACAGCAAAACCTCAGTCTTTTGTGCAAGTTACCTGAGGTTGAATACAAGTACATGAGTTGAAGTTTTGCTTTATATATATGTGTGTGTGTGTGTGTGTGTGTGTGTGTGTGTGTGTGTAGGTCTTTGGTTGTTCGGGTTTTCTCCCGCGTAAAATTGGAAGTGTCTTGGCGACGTTTCGACGAAGTCCCATTCATCATCTTCAGGCTGGTGCTTTCAGCTTCGTGCTTTGAGCAGCAAAGCTGAAAGCAGGAAGCTGAAAGCACGAAGCTGCACGAAGCAGCACGAAGCTGAAAGCACCAGCCTGAAGCATGAACTGAAGCATGAACAAGCGAGATGATACCTCCCGCCTACCAGCCATTTGGAAACCCGCCCTTATTGACAAACGACTCCCTAACACAAAAAATGATACCAGACCCACACTCACAAAAACCACACAGGATGTCACCACCACACATCCACGCAAAAAACAAACCCAAAGCCACACCGATGACGAGGCACGACCACAAACCAGAAGCCAGACCACAGCTGCATCATTAGCCACTTTAAACCCCTCCAATCCATACATGAAGCAAACTGACACCCCCCATGAAGAGGAGGCACGACCACGAACGCGAAGCCAAAAAATAGCAAGGCAGCCCAAAATCTTAAACCCCTCTGCAACTCAGACTAACCTGAGCACAACCAAACAGAACACTCCCCCAGCCAATCAGAGCACAGCCAAGCCCCTAACCATTCAGAACACACCTCCACCCAATCAGAACACAGCCAAGCTCCCACCCAATCAGTTCATACCCCCACTGGCAGTTAAAAGGAAGAAACAGCTAAGACCACACGTTGCTGCTCAAAGCGTGAAGCTGAAAACACCAGCCTGAAGATGACGAATGGGACTTCGTCGAAACGTCGCCAAGACACTTCCAATTTTACGCGGGAGAAAAACCAAAGACTTACATACAAATACCCGCGAAAACCTCAGAAAACATATATATATATATATATATATATATATATATATAGAGAGAGAGAGGAGAGAGAGAGAGAGAGAGAGAAGAGAGAGAGAGAGAGAGAGAGAGAGAGAGAGAGAGAGAGAGAGAGAGAGAGAGAGAGAGAGAGTGTCACTTGGGAGTGTCTGGGCATATAACTTTTCCTTTGTTATCATAAGTAACAGGGTTCCCAATTGGGCAATTTTAAGATGTGTGAATTTCAACTCCCAGAATTCCCAGCAAGTACCCTGTGTCTAATAATTCTGCAAGTTGAAATCCACACAACTTAATCCAGGTAAGGAACAGTGATAAGAAAAGACTGAACATTTGTCATTAAATCTGTATTTGTTTTAAGGTTTCAATTCATTCAGTCCATTGTTATCTTAATATATTTCAATTATTTAAAAATGTGCCTCCTAAATTTGGGCAATAATAAGATTTTTCTTAGTTGTTTATTAAAGTAATAAGAGGACTTAGAAAATATTTTTTACATTGGGTTCTGCCATGTCAGATAAAGCATTTGTCTTTTCTCATACATATAGGAGAAATTGTATTTCTAGGATAATTATTACACATTGGATTATTTAGTTTTGATTGGTGTATTCTAAGTGGATGGCTAATCTCTTAAAATTCTTCTGAGCACAGATATAGAACTTGTAACTATCTAGAATTATTGGCTGACTAAGGCTGATAGAAATTTGGAGTCCAGCATCTTGAGGAGTATACTGTAAGTTTCTGTATTTGTCCCTTGTTTTAGTAACATTTTTATTCTTTTGTTTTTATAAAATGAAGGAGTATGGCCAGAAGGATCAGATGGAACAGATATAAATGCCCTTGTGAGGTCCCATAAGAGGAAAGTGATAGCTGTGGCTGATGACTTTTGTAAAGTCCATCTATTTCAGTATCCCTGCTCCAAAGCAAAGGTAAGTTTAGAGACAATGTTTTAGAGCAGGAATGAGAAGAAAAGTGGTTGTATACTATAAATATATGGCTCTGTATTCAGCTTCACATGCTAGAATCTCTTGTGGAAATAACAGTTTCCTTTCCTATGCATCAAATTCCCAGAATAGTTATTGTTGTGTGCCTTCAATGGTAAATATAACCTAGAAAAAAAAATCTGTCCTTTTACCATACTGGATTGGTCACTTGGACGTATAATGATTAAGTTACTACTTTGTCTCTCACTATATTTTCTTTTTAATTTCATATCTACCTGTAATTTTTAAACTATTGGCAGCAGAATTATTGCATTGAAAGGACAGAACAGTAATTTTATTATTTAATTTAGGATAATAGAATAACAGCATAACAAAGTTGAAAGGAAAGTAGGAAATCCTATCCCATTTGAGAAAAATAATTGTCCAATCTTTTATTTAAAAACTCCAGTATTCCAATACCCACAACTTCTGGAGCAGGGGTCCCCAACCCCTGGTCGGCCGACCGTTACCGTTCCATGGCCAGTTAGGAAAGAGGTGCGCTGAAAGCGTGTCTTCCACCTTCAGGCATGCAGCAAGTCTGCAAGGGCCTGGGCAGAGGCGGGACAGTGGCGAGTGAGAAGCCGTCTTGCTCAGTGCAAAGGTCCTCTCATGGCTGTGCTTGCAACATCTGAGCTCTGTGTCCTTCCTCCTCTTCCTGGTCCTGCTTCTTCTACTATCTCTTCTACCTCTTTCTCCTCTTCCTGGTCCTGCTTTCTCTTCCTCCTGCTACTTCTTTTTCCTCCTCCTCTTCTTCCTCACTTTCCTCCTCTCCCCCTCCCGGCACCCCAGATGGGCTCGCACTCTCTTTGTGCAACTCTCCATGTTTGCAAGATAAGTGCACGCCAGCCCAGCCTTCAACAGGGGGGGAGCTTCTCTTAATGCCTCATTAGAGGGGGAAAATCTCCCCCAAGGTATGTATGTGTGTGGGTGTTTCTTTTTTCTCGGGGTGCAAATAGGGGCAGGTAGAAGCTACCTTTCACCTTAAGCACTGCGTCTCCAAGGGAATCTCTTGTCTGCACCTTTTCTAAGACCGCTGGGCTCTGTTGCACTTCAACTGGAGTTTTTTGCTTTTGTTTTGATGCTCCAGATGCCCGTGTTTTGGCAACATCTTGCCTGGTTTTTGTTGTTTAATTTGGTGTGTGGTGTGTGTGTTCCTCCTTTCTTTGTGCAGCTCTCCAAGTTTGCAAGCTAAGCGAGCTCCTACCTGGCTTGCAGTGGGGGGGGGGAGAAGCTACATTTCCCCTTAAGCGCTATGCCTCCAAGAGAATCCCTCTCTCATCTGCACCTTTTCCAAGACTGTTGGGCTTGTGCAGTGCCGAATTGGTTTGGCCTCTCTCTGTCTCTCTCTTTTTTAAATGGTTTTCTCAGCACTTCCTCATTCCTCTTGAAGTTCCTGTGAGCTGGTTGTCCCAGCAATCTTTGGTGCTATGCAAATGCAGTGCACTTGTAACTAGGGACAAGTGGACAACTAATGATTTCCAAGATTGCTGGAAGATGCAAACCAATTATTTTGGTTAGCAGCTTCCCCACTTCTATGACAGAGTTATTTACAAGAAGAATGGGACTAACCCATTCCTGTGAAACTTTCACCCTTATTCTATAAGTAAAATCTATTGTTAGAAGATTTATATATGCCAAAGTGACCAGTAGCATTAGACTTAGATAGAATTCATGTTTGTGCTTTGCTAAAATGTACAATGCATTGGAAAGATAAGATATATTTTTCCTAGTTAAATACATGTAATTGGAAGTTGAGTTAACCCTGATAGATGTATAACTTGATTCTAACACTGGTGTTTTTTCATTTGTGTTAACAGGCTCCAAGTCATAAATATAGTGCCCATAGTAGTCATGTAACAAATGTCAGTTTCACTCATAATGATAGTCATTTGATTTCAACTGGAGGCAAAGATATGAGTATCATTCAGTGGAGACTTGTTGAGAAAGCAACTTTGCCACAGAATGATACTGCTGTAGACATGGGCACAAACAAAGTGCCTGTAACTGCCAGTGACAGCTTTACACAGCCAAGTATCCCTGTGTCCCTTAATCAACCATTGGATGAAATGGCAGCCAGTGAAAATTTAATGGATGGCTTTTCACCATCCTTCGAGAGTGACGTGGAGCATACTGTGAAGACCAATGAAGAGCAGAATGAGGAGCAAAGTGAGGGAAGTAGTCTGGATCCAGGGGAGCCAAATTGTGAAGAACCACCTAGTGAAATGAGTGAGGAACAGAGTGAATCCACTGTTATTGAAGATCAGCAGGAAAACTCTCCAATGTCTTATCAACTTGAAACTCAAGATGATCTTTAGATATTTTCTCTCAGTGCACATTATTTTGTAAAAAAAAAAAAGGATTCAAGTAAGGAAGGGAAGCAGCTCTGACATGGAACACTCAAGTTTCAGTGGAAGGCTTGTTAGTTTGATCTACTTCTGTTTTCAACTCATGGAATTATTGTAAGGACTCATTTTGACAGTTCCAGTCAAGTGCTAAATAGAAAACTAGAATGTTACCTTAGGTTATATATAATTCTGAAATTGCTAAGAGAAAGAGGAAGAGTTTTCTGAGAGAAGCAGGTAGAAAATCTGGGAAAGAACTTTTAAGACCGTTCAGAAGCATTGGGTAATACCTGCTATGTAATGTAACCTGGTGAAAGCCCTTCAGGAAGCTCGTCTTTCTTTTTTTACATTAAAAAGAGAAGGAAGGAGAATAAGACAACATAATGGCACATACAGTGCTGTGCTTATTGCCATCTTGAGTAATACCTATGCAATTTTCTAAAATTAGCAATTCTTACTAGCCGCTACTTTAGATGCTGGTTGTTCTAAGACAGCTTATATTAAAGTATACTTTTGTTTGTTCCGTGTTAGTAGATCTTAAAAGAACCAAATTAAGATAGCAAGTGCTGCTTAGTTTTCCAGCCGATGACAATGTAATTTCAAGGAACTACTTCCATTGACATATTAAAATTCAAGAATACCAACTGTGACTCTATTGCAAACTGACTTAACTTCATTAAGATAAAAGTTCTAATTCTCAAGTTCATACCTGACCTTCAGATACAATTAGTACTTTCAATAAGAGACTAAATATTAGAGAAATAGCATTAAGTTATAAAACCTAATGCTTGGGAGTAATTATTGACTCAGTTTTTTAAAAAATTAGGGATAACCTTAACATAAGAAATTTTCACATAGACTTTTCTACAGCCATCTTTTTAACAGCTATAATATAAATGTCCCATTTTCTTGGATAATGTTGGCTATTTTTGATTTTTTTTCTCTCTATTTGTGGTGTTTCTTTTTTCTCTTGTCCAGTTTTGTAAGCCGTGCAGCTCAGAGATAGCTGGACCTGGCCAGTTATGGGATATCATGGCATTTTATTATGTGTTAAAAATATCTTTTTTAAAAAAAATTAAAAATGCATCAGCTACATTTTTTCTTAAATACCTAGGTTTTCCTGTTTAAATGTTTGTTGAAAAACATCCTACTTTATATTTTACTTACATAGGATTTTTTTAAAATTGTTCTGATATTTTAGACCTTATTTAGAAATTGTGTTTAGAAACCTTCGTTAAGTCTTAAGTGTGCAAGCGTTTACGTGAATGTGCCATTCCAAAGTGCATCAGAACTGTCATTCCCTTCTATTAACTTCTCAGGAGTAAATACTACAGATCAGGTATGTAATCTACAATATTCATCAGTGGAAACATTAACAATTGACTTGGACTCCCAAAGGACATAAAGACTGTCACATATAGAAAGATACAGGTGCACATAAACATCTTTGTTTACATCCATTCCGGAAAACCTCAATATAATTATCTTCAGAAACCACGATGTGAATTCCAAGCAACTGATCTCTTTTGCTTTCTCTAAAAAGCTGTACTGTTAAATGATATATTCGAATGCTCCAGTGTATGATTGGCCACTTTGCCAAAGAGTCCCTGTGGGCAACACACATACAAATACTGTATCAAGATAATGGATTCCTTTGGAAAGGAGGCATCTGCGAGGGAGGAGGAGGCCCATTTTCAGTGATTTACCACTTTCCGGTCTGCTTCAGAGTTCTAACCACCCATAATAGATAGAGGAAAAGATGGAAAAAGGGGATTCATTGAACATACTCCCCCATTTTTTTGTTCCACTCTGTTCCACAGGGAGAGATTAACTGAATAACACAGCTTTTAAAAATGTAGTAAGATAAAATAGTTCTAGTAATTATAGTTAACATGAAATGGTTGTAGAGCTCTTTAACATCCTCAGTGAGTAACATGAAAACAGAGCATTTTGTTTAGATTTATCTATTATCTTGAGGTTGCCGTATAAAGTGAGAATTAATAGTTGTGATTTTCCACATGTTATAGATCAACAGATTATTTTTAAATGCCAAAAAAAGGGAAGAAAAAGCCTTACAATTTTTGATTGCTGGCAACTACTGTTCAATAAATAATTAAATCTGTGATAATAGAAATGGGTGGGATTATGTTAACTGTAAATGTTTTAGGGTAAAATTGTGAATGAAATATGATTTGAGTGTGTCATGTGAAGATGTTTGAGCCATTCTGTCTATCATGCATTCCTGTCTCAAGGCAGAAAAATCTGAAGATTTAAAATAATAAAAATACAAGAATCAATGTAATGTAGCAGTCTCTTCTGTTTGTATCTTTCCTGGTTGATATGTTTGAATTTCAGTAGTCTAAGGAAGGGCTGTTCCAGTCCGCTAATCAATTCAAGGCAAATGTGATCTGCTTGAGGCAGAGCAAATGAAGCCAACTCAATCTATTTTGTGTCAGAACATATGATGGGGCTCCATGGCCAGTATCTGGGCAGGGCAAGAATGATTCAGGGATGTCCAAGTCAAAGTGCCCTTGCAGTCAGACTTCTACATATAGTAAAAACTCGAGGTGACCCATGGTTTCGTACATTCAATATCCTTCAGACAGAAATGATATAATCATTTCAATTAAATCCATTTCTCTAAACTGAAAAACAATTTAAAAGTCATGATAACCACCATCAGCCTTTATTCCATTTGGTGACCTCTGTTTCCATTCTTATGTATAGAATAGAGTTGGAAGGGACCTTGGAGGTCTTCTAGCCCAGCCCCCTGCTCAAGCAGGAGAACCTATACCATCTCAGACAAGTAGCTGTCTAGCCTTTTTTAAAAAATCTCCAGTGATGGAGCGCCCATGATTTCTGGGGGCAAGCTATTCCATTGGTTAATTGTCCTCACTGTCAAGAAGTTTCTCCTTAATTCCAGGTTGCTTCTTTCTTTGATCAGTTTCCAACCATTGTTTCTTGTCCTGCCCTCTGGTGCTTTGGTAAATAACGTAACCCCCTCTTCTTTGTGGCAGCCCCCCAAATATTGGAATATTGAGATCATGTCTCCCCTATTTCTTCTTTTCTTTAGACTAACCAAACCCAAGTCCCACAGCTGTTCTTCGTATGTTTTAGTCTCCAGGCCTTTGATCATCTTAGTTGCTCTTCTCTGAATTTTTTCCAAACTCTCAACATCTTTTTTGTGATATGGTGACCAAAATTGGCTGCAGTATTCCAGGTGTGGTCTTACTTGAGTTTTATAAAACAGTACTAATGTCTCACATGATCTTGATTCTATGCCTCTGTTTATACAACCCAGGATTGAATTAGCTTTTTTGGCTGCTGCTGCACACTGCTGGTTCATGGTTAAGTGATTGTCCACTAGGACTCCAAGGTCCCTCTCACTGTTACTGTTTTTAAGCCAGGTCTTGCCCAATCTGTTGGTTTTTCTTGTCTAAATGTAAAACTTTGCTTTTCTCCACATTGAAACTCATTTTGTTGGATAGGGCCCATGTTCAAGTTTGTCAACATTTTTTGGGATCCTGAGTTTGGCTTCTGGGATGTTGGTTACTCCTGTCAGTTTGATGAGTTCCCCTTCAATTCCCTCATCTAAGTCACTGATGAAGATATTGAAGTGTATTGGGCCTAAGACGGAACCTTGTGGTACCCCACTACTTATTTCTCCCCATGTGGATGTAGTGCCGTTGAGGACTACTCTTTGAGTATGGTTCGCCAGCCAGCTACAGATCCATCTGGTGGTGATGTTGTCTATGCCACCTTTTTCTAACTTACCAAGGAATAGGTTGTAGTCTACTTTATAAATTATTTTATTTATTTATTCTAATTTCTCTTTTTATTTTTTTAATATCCATAAGAAATCTCATGAAAATTTGAGTAAAACAATTTTGTGGCTTCAGGATTTTTCTTTTATTTTTCTGGCTTGGAACAAGGAGATAACTTTCTGTCCACAAAATTATTTTAGGTGACCACTAAATTAGGCTCCCTATCCAAACAGGCTACTTTGATTAGATTTAGGGGTTTTGTTTAAAGTATCTTACCTTCAGATATGAGCACTCCAGGAGCTTATTGGGTGTTTTGGAATATTAAAGACAAAGGCAAGAAGTATTTGCAAATACTGAACTATTTACCACCAAGGTTTTTCATACAAGGAATTGCTTTAGGTTTTGTTTTGGTGTCAATTGAATAGAACATTTTTTATTCATGAGAGACTCACCTCACTTTCAATATGATGTATTGGCCTAGGATAACAGTGGACAACCTTGGAAATCATGTAGTTTCTAATTTCTGCAGCCTCTGCAGCTTCTCAGTAATTCAATGGAAAAAACGTCAGTGGCTGAAGTGTCAGCCGTTTGATGGTAGAAAAATGAGAGGAAAAGCAGAGAGAGATCACATTAAGACACAATTGGGCCTCCTTATCTCTTTTATATAAAAATTGCTCTCCCAGCTACAAATCTCTTGCCTGACTCTGCCAGAGGGGTATATCTATGATTTCATACACAGAGAAGAAGATAGTTTACCTATGTACATAATAAATGTTTGGGTAAAATGTATCCTAAAACCTATTAGGCTTCTGAAAAAAACAACACCTCAATAGCCATATAATAAAGAATGCACAGGGTTCAAGAAATTATACTGTAATTGGATACATGCACACATGGAAAGTATTAGGTTGATCGTTTTCCCTGGGTGGAGATCCCTAAACCCTTCAATTCATACTACACTTTCCAATATTCCTGGGAAAAGCCTATTGGAATCCTGCCAGCAAACACTTTTTCTTAGAAAAATCCTCTCTGCAGCTGAATTACATAAAGGTAAGTGAAGTTGTGGCCTATTTTTCGTATTTTCCTTCTTTTGGTGGGAACAGCTTTTCTGAGTGGGAGATGCATGTGCTAATCAGAGGTATTTGGGTAGGAAGTTTCAAAACCAACAAGATAACAGGATTCCAAGCACATTCAGGCAAAAGATTACCTGACAATGTAAGAATAAGGAGCAATCTCCACTTTACAGGAATCCAATACTCTTTGGAAGTGGTCTGAATCCATGATCTACTGCAGTGGTTCTTAACCTGGGTGATATCATCCCCCAGGGGGTGATTTTGTTTTTCAGGGGGGGGCGATGGAACGAAAAGGGCTGAAGGAACGAAAAGGGGGCAATATGGAAGCAATGGAGAGAGAAGTTTTGGGGACACTTTTGAGACTTTCTCATACAGTGAATCGCTGTATATCTGTTGTACAAAAACATCAGATCACTCGCTATTAGTGGATTGAATTGTGTTTTCAAATGTTCCTCCAGCTAGCTTCAGTACAGAACACCGTACATATGTGAATACGCATCGCTTATCTTCATGCGCGTTGCACAGAAGCCTCTACCCATACAGTGGTGCACCATTGGCCAGAATATGGGAGATATGGGAAAAAGACTGGAAATAAATTATTTGCATTGATATATCCTGATGAGAATTTTAAAGAAAACAAAAGAAGTGTTTGCATAAACTGAAGAATTATTTCCTATGTTGTGATTGAGAGGATATATTGGGGGAGGGGGGCGATGACAACTTCCTCATTAGCTCAAGGGGGCGATTCGTTCAAAAAGGTTAAGAACCACTGATCTACTGTAGAAGGCCTTGTATAGGTGGGCTGGGAATATGTTTTTTGCTGTACAGTTTTGTATAATAGCTGTGCTTGGATTCAGCTCTATTGCTCATATTCTATATGCACACCTTTTCACTGAAGGTGTTCCATGGCAAGCCTCCTCCTGAAGTAATATTTTTATAATGTATAAAAAAGTATGTGAATGAAAATCAGATGCTTGGCAAAATTGCCATGGCTTTTCATCAACTTGGGGTGGGAGTTTTTATAATCCTGAAGTGATTTGTTGTTGACCAGAGTTCAATAACCTATAACCTGAAGCAGGGATACAATATTGACATGTTCCAAGCAGGGTCCTCGAGACTTCTGCATGATCAGTAGATTCAGATTGAGGCAGATAATTATAGAGGAAGTAGGGGACCATTTTCCTTGAAAACCAAACAAACAGACCCGTGGGTGAAAACTTTAAAAAAAAAAAAACTTTTAAAAACAAGTGAGTTGACAGGATGGTAATATTGAAAGAGTCACAACACAGAGAAAAAAACACCAACAATAGGTGTGGGAGAGTAAAAAAAAAAAAGCAATATACATATGTCTTTTATATCTGTGTTAATATTTCTTGCATATAGAAGGGGGCGAGACTTCACATGGTGGCAGCCATTTTCTTGACTAATTTTACTCTTTGTAAACGCCTTACATTCTGCAATCCTTTGAAGCCCCCCCAGTTCATGGTAAACGAAAGCCTATTTTAGGCCTAGCTATTGTGCCTTGTAGGTTCAAGAGTGGTGGCTTAGCAAGAGGCAGTGATGATCTAAGCCCAGAAAGGAACCCTAACTTTGCTCCTGAAAGAAGAAAACACTCCACCATAGCAGCAAAAAAAAAAAAAAAAAAGCCCTCTTCTTATACTTTCTTTTATGCCCAGCTGAAATGTAAGCTGGTGGCCATTCAAATCTTAGGCTGTTCCAAAAGCTTAATCATGCAGAAATTGAATGGTGATAAATGAATGCAGATAAGGAAACATACTATCCAGTGGTGGGATTCAGCTGGTTTGCACGCTGCTTGCTTCAGGAGGCTGCGAGGCTCATTGTGCGGCGCAAGTGGTACAAAGAGCCACCTGGCATCTTGCCACGAGAAGCGGCAGTGGCACAATCAGTGTGACGAGCCTAAGGCCTGCAGCCAGGAGCAGCAGCAATGGTGCAATCGGTGCAATGAGCCTTAAGGCCTGCAGCCAGAGGAAGAGGATGAGATGGGCGGAGGAAGTGTGGAAAATTTTCCTAATCCATGGCTGCACCTAGACCAACAAGGTATGGTGTCCAGCCTGCAGGATCTGGAGAGTCCGCTGACAATCCTCTTCTCCCCAGCCCAATAGGAAGCACCTCCACCCACACCACAGTCCTGCAGTAGCTTGGATCTGGAACCTATGGAAACCCAGGAGGAGCCGCGCAGCAGCTTGCCTGCACACTCCTTGACCCAGATGGCTTGGAACAGGGTGCTTCGGGGCTTCTGCCAATCAGCAGGGCAACCTACGTAAGATTGGTGTCACTGAAGCCAGCCTGGTGCCTAGCAAGAAGGCAAAGTTGGCAGAGGAGGAAGGCGAGCAGCAGCCCCAGTGGCAAGAAGTGCCCCTTCTGAGCTTGGCCTGAATCTTGCAGGATTGGTCTCTAGCTTGATCCTCCAGCCTCCACTGGCCAAAGGTGCCAAGGAGCCCAAA